TAACAGACTTTCTAAAATATAATCCAATAGTTCAATAGTTATTAAGATAAGATTAAGACTCAAAGTTTTCTCATAATCCTAAAACTCTAAGAAAATTTTTTTACCAAACAAACTCAACAATGTGTCATCTAAACTTATTGGTTGATAAAGTTATAAAGTTACAATTTCAACTATAATCTAATCTGATAACAGCATGAATATAGGTCGAAAACGTGACAAAACGTCCAAGTAGCTTTGTAACGTTCAGTATTCAGCATGTTGATGTAAATTTATACTCTTAACCCTTTACTTCCCGGGATTATGAAATTTAAAAACAAAAACTTTTATTGTGAATTTTATTTTAATTTTTTTAATTTCAAGGCTTAACATGTGTTTTTTTTTTAATTTCCCTCATAGAAATAAAAGTTAGAAATATGTATCCATATGGATACCATGGAAACCTAAAGTACCAATGTTCGCTAATTTTCATAAGTTAATAATTTTAATTTTGCCTTGACACTCCCATGGTATCCATATGGATACAAGTTTCTTAGAAGTTGTATCGAATTGAAGAATAAGTTACTTGTTCATCAATTAAAACAAATTTATTTATAATGAGTACAAATAGGCGTATTATGTAAACAAAAATATTACAATATCACTAGATGGCATCATAAGCCACTCGTCAATTTCTTCATTGTCATTCATCTGTAAGACACATCATGATTTTAATAATATTGGACTGAAACAAGCATTACAACACTTATAGGCCTATATTTATCATTGTGCAGACTTAAAAAAAACAGACTTATATCGAAGAAAATACAAAAGAAAAACAGTATCCATATGGATACTATGGGAACACAGACGACTCACCGTAGCTATTATTAAAAATAACCTGTATCCAAAAGGATACTATGGGAGCACAGAGGACTCTTTAAATATTGTCAGCATACTCTGTGTTCCCATAGTATCCATTTGGATTCAGTTATTTTATACCAAATATATAAAAAGTAAGTAACAGGAGACTGTAATTCTATGTATATTTCAGTTGCTAAAGGTGCAATGAAGTGAAATGTAATTTTTCCCAGTTCCCTAACTAATTATAAACATAAAAAATCTTATCTTGAACATCTTAAATTTCAAGATTTGTCAACAACCTGGTTTGCATCACTTTGAAATTATACTTTTCTTCTTTTTGCAGGCTTGCCAACACTAAGAAAATTAAATACCCTTTCTAATAAGCCTAGAAACAAAATGCATAGAGGTATAGACTCAAATCTCTACCTACAGAGAGGTAAAAAAATTAGAAATAATATGTATCCAAAAGGATACTATGGGAAGTAAAGGATACCGAGCGAATATAAATGCTCACCGATCGTTTGAATAAAATCGGGATTAAAAAAGTTTATTTTTTAATACAATGAAATTGTTTTCTAATTGTAAAATTGACTGTCAACTTGTCGGAGATAATGTGAAAACTCTAAGAAAATAAATTACTATTCGCTTTGGAAACAATGGAGAGAAATCTATAACCAATGTGGCATATTTACTACCTAAACTAAATTATTGAATACGTGTGAACATGCCTAAAACATTTACGGCAGCATAAATTATTATCCATACTGTAATATTGGTACGTATAAAAATTTGGATTTTTAACTTCATATTTTGAACATGGAAAATTAAGCAATAATATTCAAATTCTACGAGGCCAAATTAAAAAGTTCATGCGTATGTGATTCTTGTACTCCAAAGTTCAGGAAGCTGGTGGTTTCCAGTGGAAATTGCGCACCCAAGGTTCAATTCTTGACATTTTCCAATGGCTGTAATCCATATCACATCATAAGTTCTGAATCTGTCTACAAAGGGTAAAAAAGCTAAGAAAATTGCTTTCGTTTCGATATTACCAAAGATATTAACACGTGAAATCGTTTAACACAAAACATTTTAGAATTTATTTTAAAAATTATTTTTATTCATATAAATACAACATATGATTCATCTGTAGGTCAAACCAGTTTAATATATTACTATATATTAAAGAATATAAACAATCCTGTGTTGTACTTTTTACAGTATTAACAGAGTAAAGTCACAAGTCTTAGCTCAAGGCTTACTGGCTTAGAACAAGCTAATCAAGTTTCTTTAGGGATTCACTTCCTCCAATAAAATTAGGCTCTGAATAAACAACAAGTTAATGGAAACTCCTAATACAATCAAGACATTCTACTCTTTCGTACGTACCCATAACAATCTAGTGTAAAAAAGTGGTTTGTAAATTTACTGTCTGAAAAAATATCTACCCCTTTTTATCTCTGAAAATTAGTTGCTTATTAGATATAGTTTTTAAACATTTTTAAAGGCCTTAAAAACTGTACACTTTAATGCCATATAGTAATGCACGTATCCCACAAAACTAGCTCTATTTATCCAACTATCTCCAATGAATGGTTCTATTGGTCTTACGTATTGTTATCTTATAGTTTATTATTGTTAAATCTTGAGAGAATATTTGTTGATGTTGCTTTCAAAATCGTATTCCATCATTTGTCTGAAATCCGAATATTAAATATTTTTATGTTAGCAATTCAATATTGTTGTTGTTATTATCTATACTTGTTACGTTTATGTCTTGTTTGTTATTTTTTGTTGCAGTCCTGTTTTTTATGCTTATGTAGCTTCTTTTGTTATTTACAAGGCAATTGTTTCCATTTAATTCTGATCTTGTGCTTAAAATATTGTTTTGTAAATAGTGTACCCGTTTATATTAAAAAATACTAAATGAAAAATATGAGTGGGCTGAAAAATACTATCGAAGCCAACAGTAATCAACTTGTTGAGTGAGCTGTCAATAACTTGTCGGATTGCAAAACATGTAGATCCTGACGTTTATCGTTAAGACAATATAGGCTTCAATATAAAACAAACGTTGTCATTGTAGGTTGTCAGGATGCATCAATGACGTTGATAGAAACTTATCTTCTGTGATGTAAAATACTTATGTTTGTGGCTTGAATATATCAAGTTAAGTTAAAGGGATGTCTTTCAGTACCTTATCCAACTTCATTGAGTTATCTTTAGTTGTTGTAAAAAGTGTTTACTATCTTCTTCTTAGTTGTAAAGTATAATAAATATCTTATCAATTATAACGAAAGTAAATAATTTGTTGAACCTTGTAAAAGTAGCAAACAGTAATTGGTTCACTGGATTGTTAAAAAATTCTATAAAAATGGAACTTAAAGAACAGAAACACAAAGCACATATTTAACTAATTATCAAACAATGGACCGTTTGTAAAAAAAAACTAAAAGCAATAGAATATGGCCTTCAGATGGCAGCTGAAAATGGGTATTCTCATTTTACTGACAAATCGTGATGAAATAAAACATGATTATATAATGAAAAATAAAATTTGCAAGAGTGTCTTGGGACTCTTGGACAATATTTATGAACATTCCAAATCTTACTGGTTCACTACATATTAGATTTAGAGCTTGTCATTATTTTTAAATAAAACAGTTAGTTGGTACAAAAAAGTTAGTTCTCGAAAAAAAAGCTTTAAACCATGTCTGTTAATTGTTCGGAGAGAAAGAAGTGATATTTGGTTTACAAATGTAAATCCCGATCGAGGTTTTGTGTATGTAAATAGGTTTATGTTTCACTTATTTGTCGATCGTCTAAGTTTATCGTTAATAACTATAATAAAAATAAAACCCGATAATAAAAAGTATTACATTTGTTACAGCGGTAATATGAATTAAACTTTACATTTGATAAAGATCTATCATAATTTTTTGGGTTTCAAGGTAATTTAAAATCAACTCTATCTCAAGACGTGTGCTACTAATGTCAAAACATGCTGATAAGTTAGAGACAAGCTTTTAAAGTAATTTAAACATAGAAAATAAGTCCTTTGACGAGTTTCCTTTTAGTTTACTTTCCTTTATTAACTCAAGATTCATGACAAGCACACCTTCACGTTTAGGAATTTTCAATCACTCTTGATTGATCTTAAAACATAACAGTTCTGTCATTGACGTTCCACGAAACTGTTATAGTATGTTATTTTCTCTAGACAGTTGGTTTTCCAAGAAACTAAAACGTAATCTCTGAATTCTCAGAGAAGTTTCCATATTTTAAATGCATAAAAAGAACTTAATAACTTGACTGGAAAATTTTGAGACTTTAATTTTGCCAGAAATCCATTTAAAGGAACTAGCCTACATTCATAACACTATTGATCTATAAACATGTTGTCGCAATACTGATTATATCCTCACATTTATTTGGATATTTAATGATTTAAAATTGTTTTAAATGTGCTAAATCTGTGTTAAATCATTAAATTTTTAATTTTTTAAATATTAAAACTGTATATTGTCTAGTACTTACGTTACATGGTCTAAATTACATTCCTTGCTTACACTGTTGATATAAGGAGTCTCGTTTGGAGTAGCCTACATTTGTACTTCAAGTACACTGATGGATCTAATTAGATATTAGACAAAATTTTATATCATTTTGGAGAACAAAACTGTATATCACTCAAAAAATTAATGTTAAAAAAATATTACTTCTTTTGTTTCTAATTTGTGAAAAATGGATTCACATTTCCCATCAACATATTAAGAGTCTCAAAGATGATCAATTTAAGAAAATCGTTCGGATCAACGATCGTTTAGATTTTTGGAAGAATCTTATTGCTACTTATATTATGTAGGCAATATCTAAGTGATAAAGTTGTTGAACTGGCCCAGTTTCCATTATATCGCCACCCTAATGGCATAATACCAAATACGATATTGTTCCACACATGGATTTTTACTTAAAACTTAACAAAACTTATACAACTAATATTATTTAGAAAGTCTAACATTATGTATCACTGTACAGACCAATGTAAATGTCCTTAACAATACTGTGTCCCCACTGCTGTAGTTTACCCCACTGCCATGCATCCGTTGCCGTGATGCCCGTTAACTTACTCCACAGGTCTAATATTATTTCTTTCCCCACAGAGCCATGTTGATGCCCCCGACACTGCTGTGTCCCTCGCTGCTGTAGATTGCCCCACTGCCATGCCCCCGTTGCCGTGATGCCCGGTGCCCCGCTGCACCGACATGCTTGGCTGTGGAACTCTGCCAAGCTGCGGGTGCCACAACACGACTTCCTCAGACCTCAGGTAAATTTCGTTTACTTTACAGTGAAAATGTTGGGTTTATTCTACGCTGACGCATCAGAGTTCATCACGATGCATCAATATGCATCAGAATTAGTTAAATATCAGTTTTGAAAGAATTAGATACTAGCTTTGTAACTGTCTATCATATACATTTTCTGTAGCCATGACCATTTCTTAATAGCCTAATAATCAGATGGCTCCATTCCTATGAACCATAAAAAAGCTTAAATCCTTTTAATGGTCGATTTACACACATCAATCCAGTCATAGTTCAGTCTCAGTTGCATCCACGATTCCTCAGTTAATCGCCTGTCAATTGGTTTCAGTCAGTCCTCCGTCACTGTATGTTACAGTCAAGAATGTTTAATTAAAAGACAATAAACTCTGATACTAAATCTTAAGATTTTCTAAAAAGCCAGTTTATAAAAGTTTAGGACGAAGAATAGTTATTAATAGATGTTGAGCCTGTGAGAATATTGGTAATTTATGAAGGTCAAGAGACTCTAAAGAAAATGGCAAAACTAGGCTATACATTACATAACACAACACTTAAGAATATGTCATATAATAATTTTTATTCCGGTTGATATTTTTATTGAATTAATGGAATATGAAATTTCAAAATAATACAAATGTTATTTTGGTACCTATGTAATTTCTCAGCTACTCGTCTGAGAGTTCGTCTTCGGACGCAGACATGCGGCGAAACCAGGGAAGCTCCTGCCAGGAGGTGGTCAAACACAACGGCGTCGGCGCCTTCCTGGCAGCGCTGTCCCCCAGGAACCTGTTCCGGGGCTTCAAGAAGAACAGCGAGTTCAGCATGCCTAAGGCAGAACGAAGTAAGTTGAAATACATACAATTGCTGTAATATTGAAAGAAAACATTTAGATGTATTTTCTTTTCGGACGGATGATGTCAAAAGTAGTAACACCTCTTTAAACTTTCATACGGTAAAATTGATTAGTTATTGCTCCAGAAAAACGTTTGCAAATAAAATATACAAAATACTTTTTTAATAACATATACTGAAACTGTTTTACTTTTCATAGTGGATTGAAGACCGTTCATTCAACAAGAAAATAATTACGACTTGTAAATGTCATTACAGATTTGTAGGGAATTTTTAAAGTTTATCCTCACTTACTCACAGATATGCTAGTACTTTAAAATTTAGTGTTACTAAATCTAGCATATACACCAATTATCTGAAAAGCTTAAGATTTTAAAAAATCTTAATAATTTATTAACTCATATATTCAACGTAACGTGATTAAACTTAACTTCAAGACATTTAATAAAAAAAACTTTAGTTAGGTTTTTATCTCGTTGTTTTTAATTAGAGAAAAAGGCAGGTGACACAAGTTTGTTTAGCTCAATTTGTTTGCCACCCCTTTCTAATTACTAAAACAAATGCCCCTATCAAACGGCTAATTACGTTTTGAGACAGACGTTCTTGGAACTGCACTTTCATTGAATTTCTCTTGGTTCACTCGTGCCATGAAAAATTCCATTTTCCTGTTTACATTTTTGTCTTTAATAAGCTTGTTTTAGCCAAAAAAACACTAGAACTAGAACATTTCAATACGTCAAGTTAGGTCGGTTTGTTGATATTCAAATTTAGTGATAACTAATGTACAGAATGAAAATCAATGCATTTAATGTGAAGTTGACACCATCAATCGTCAAAAGTGACAGAACATTCATTTAAATATGAAATACATGTTTGACTCAATGAAAATCGATTTAGAAAGGGAATTGAATGGGACGTGGGCATTGTTGGTCCTATTATTAACCCCGTTGAACTCTCTGACAATAGAACATGGAAGTCAATATTGTAAACCTCAGTTGCCACTAGAACAGGCACGGGTATGGAGACTTCACCGGCTTGTGGTAAAACAATATAATTAATCAAGTTAAGCTGTAGATTTAATGTAAACAATGAGGTATTGGTTTGAGTGCGTGTGTTAGTTGTGCACCTGACGTTGAATTAGATAAACCAACTGCCATATAATTGTTGCAACACTTTGTTAGACTGTGTTTAAAGGTCAAATTGGAATCAAATAATTAAAGATAAGAGGTAGTATGTAGACTGCACTTAAGTGTACGTTCTACGATGTGAGAAACAGTCTCGACCTAGTTGTATAAAATATTGGGCTTTTAAATATTTCTCATTGCTCATAAAACCACCTTTTCTTATAAGCACTTCTATGATTTTAAAATTAAAATAATAAATTAAATCAGTTTTTCATCCTAAACTATCATATTTTAAATAAGTCCTTGAAAGAACCTAGCTCATTTCATACATCATTTATAATTATTGAACCGAGGTTCTTTTGCACACTAGATTAGAAGAAATAACATTAAACACTACATAAAATGAGGAGAAACTTTGTATCTTTCGTTCTTTTAGTACAACTAGACTTAAATTAAAACTTTGCAGACAGTTAACTCGTTACCCTCTTCTAGGCAGAAATGTTCTCGATGAATAATGTCAGTGCAAGATTCCTGGAAACCAAAAATATCTGCTTAATGTTTTCATGTTTAGTGTACTGTGCAAACTCAAATCACAGAAATTCCTTTTAACTATGCAGCAGTAAAATCACTTTAAAATAACATACGGTCATTTGTATGTGGTAACGTAAAGTTTTCTAAACATTAAAACGCATCAATAAAGTAGTATCATATATTTACTGATCGTTTTACTAATAACGATATTTTCCGGACAGCCATGAAGGCGGCCATCTTGATACAACAATGGTATCGCAGATACCTCGCCAGAATGGAGGTACGTCGTCGATACACATGGACAATCTTCCAGAGCATAGAGTATCAAGGCGAGCAAGACCAAGTCAAGGTTTGTACTATATGAAAACCGTTAAGCCTTTAGAGGATAAAATCATTATATAATTTGCATTTTTTCAGCATTTTCAGTTCCTTTCACAAATTCTATAACCAGTTAATCATTTAATCTGAGACTATGTGGAAGTAGTGATAAGTAAGTTTTAAAGGTCAGTTAATTTTTTTTTAGAGCACAGGCTCTCGTTCTAGGACTTTCTTGCATCAGATAGATTTATTACGAAAGGGTTTGCGATAACATACTCATGAGAACCTTCCTGAACATACTGTCATCACTTATACTACAATTATACTATTATAGTACAATTCATATGACAACAGATTGAATAATTCAATAAGTTATTCTACAACAATATTTGTATCTATTGTTTATACATTTTCAGGAAAATTGTTTCTTTTTCCTAACAATTTAATATAAAATGGACATCTATTGTTAAAATCAAATAAAAAGTTCTTACATTTACTGTATTGTAGTAAAACCTTAGCAACAGGGTCCTCGATGCGATAACGTATAATAAGATAAACAAATACATAACAACTAAATTCCTAATCAATCTTTTATAGAATATCTTATAAAAGCACAAACATAAATATTAGCATGGTTCCAATAAAAACTCGTATCAAACGAGTGAAAATTAATTTATTTTGAATAACGGAACGAAGTTGTTTCCTTTCAGTTTACATTGTTAACAGTCCTATAAAACTAAGTTTTCAAGTGGTTTTAACAATGTTTTGTCGTAATCAATTAAACTCAGAGCTATTCTGACAGTACGCTATTGTTCAAGTTTTATTGTTGTTCTTGATTTATTATATTTTATAATTTCGTTATACAAGTTATGTTTTATACTTATTGCACTTTTTTATTTAGTGAAACTATTTAAAAGAATGATATTTTCCATATCAGTGATAACTGATAAATGGATTTGTGTAATGATGGGTTCAAAAAGTGTGTTTATAATTTATGTTTTTGTTTAACAGCTTTTAATTTATTATCTTTAACTATAAGAGAAAACTGCATTATAATTACTACCTAATATCGTTTATGGTATTAAAAAATGTTTATACGATATTTATGATTATTATTGACTTATCGTATTGTATGATATTTTTAACTATAAACAATTTAACTTACTAATCAAATTTCATAACTCATTAAGAAATACTGTTTAAGATATGCAACTTAAGCTACCATATTTTTAAGTGCCTTGGATTCTTCAACCTTTGTTGTTACTGGGCCTCTATTTGTTAGCTAACGTAGAATTTATGATTTTTCTCAATGATTGCTTTTGCAATATTTGAGTCTTGATTCATCATTGTTAAAATTATTTGTGCTTCACATAATGGCATTTTTGATCTGAAGTAAACATCCCATATACATGTAGAGATTTAGCCACTTATTTAAAATTGAACAAAATCGAATGTGCCACTCACATTGTGTTTCAATGTCATTATAAGATTTCCTGTTTTGGTTAAAGTACTCGAAATATGCTTAAGTTTACAGTAAGCTACTCTTACTCTCTCTAACTTTGACTTGCTTTAAAAGTCGATGTATACTTCAACAATAATCAATTGTAATTTCCTTACTTTGTCGACGGCTCAATTCAAATGCGCCCATCTTCAGTCTACAAGCTTGATAAGATGATATTTCTCTCTATACTCAAATCGGGAAGCGGACGCTCTGCCAACGCTGCTTTCTATTGTTTGTTGTGCAGGGTATGTGTCTAGAGGATGCAGGTACCTCACCTCAGCTTGCGCTTTACTCGATAAATCCAGGAATAAAAAATAAAAATAAAAAAATAAAAAAAAACTCGGAAGTAAAACCATGTTTATTTACAACTGCATTTACGACTCAGGAATGACAACGGGTTGTGAACATCAGCTTCAAATAAATCTCGGTTTTTTTTATTCAAGATTTAAAAATATGGAGAAGTGCATAACTTTAACCACGCTTCACAACAATACGCTAGCATAGAAGAGAAAAGATGCCTTTAAAACTATCGTAAAAACAGTTAAAAACTCAATTTATTATAAAAACACGAGTGAACTACGCTGGAGTAAAAATTGTCCGGGCTTAAAGTCGAGAACATCAACTGTAAATTTTTGTAATATATTTGTCCGTACATTTTGCCGAATAACATAGTTTAAATACTAATGTTTTTATATTACCTAATTATTTTGTTGGATTTATGTTTGCTTTGTAGCTTGCTGTGCCACACACCCTTTATTTCCTACTTTCCTTTTACCCACAAAACCTTTTAAAATAACCTATAGGGAATCTTTCGGGGAGAACAGACACAGAGCTATCTATGTGCCCTATTGTTTGTTGCTGAGGGTTGGATTCTTATAATCACTCTTGGCAGACTACACTCGTACTACTAAAACTTATGGATTTTAAGTACATTTATTATTGCTTACCTACACCTATTGACATACAACATAGATTGTTGTAGGGGAAAGCATGGAAGATGCATTTATCCACTTGACTTTAAGTTATTAAAATGTTAAAGTTATAACTCGTATTATTTTAAAACTGTATTTTTCAGCTGTACAATTTCTTCAACGCGCTGCTGACGCACATCCCCACGACGCCGTCGTCACACAAACCTATAACTAGTGATACCACGTCAAAGTCTTCCTCTACAGGTGAGTTCAGTTTATCGCAGGAAAGTGTTATCATCATTTTCTAAGTATACGTTGTATATTTTTTTAACCATTTGGAAGTATTATGTTAGATTTTCAACATTGATGTGCTTATATACTGCTGTAAGTGAAGAATACTATGAACACTATTTTGAGGTAGTAGCTTAAAGCTACACAAATACTCGTTGCAGGGTATTAATTAATTAAACATCCAAATCAATAACTTTCCTCGTTTGGTTTCAATAAATTTCGAGGTTGGAGCAACAAAATTAATGTTCTTTTATACATTTCAAAAGTAACATGGAAAGCGTAATACTCAATACTCAGACTGTAAATAAATACAGAAATGTAGCCTATGTTTGTTTGAACCATAATTGTTTTTATGTAAGTTTGCATGTATAATTTGATCATTTATATACTGTCAAACACTTCTCTACGACACACCTAGTGAAAATTAAATCCAACGTAAACATTATTATGTTACCTATACAATATACATTTTACATCTTATCTAGGCACTGTTAATAGATAAGGTCAGCCACTATAACACTGAGATGAGAACAATAGTGATGTAATCTATTCAAGGGTGAGATGTAACGTTGGAGATGAGAGGGTTGTAGGCGTCGCTCTTCTGCAAGTAGCCTGGTGTCACACTCATGAATTTCACTTTATACAATGTGTATAAAAAGCAGGTTTTGTATCACAAGCTAGATTGTTTAGACTATCACATAGGTCAACGTAGTATGTTTCGAATTAGTGTATACATTTTTACATTTTTATGTTTTAGAGAGATTTAGCCCAGTATCAAGAGAACGAATGAAATGTTTATGGGATTGAAACAACCATTTCTAGTCTAATAACGTAATGGAAATCAATATTGGCCATACTTATTATCTTAATCTCAACAACATACAAGTATAGATTCTTTGTCAAGTCTTGATCTAACTATAGCTCTAATAATCAGAGAAAAATGAAAAAAAACTTTTGGCGCTTGTCGATTGCTAACAAAGTTTAGTAATTAAAATAACCTTATTATTTCTCCCAGGGAAAAAATTGATTGGGTTACGCAATGAAAATTCCTTCTTTGATTTTTGCATTTGTAAAATATACCTCATTAGTTGTTTAAATTATTTTCGGAAATGATCGATTTCCAAAACTGTTTTTTTATTCCAAACAAGAATTGAAACTAAGGGGAATAGTATACGAAAAACATTGTGGTTTTCAACATTGGCGACACAAAATATCTAAATATTAATATCCTCTATTACACACAAAGTATTTGATTTCATTATGTTTATAAAACCTTCACACATCCGACCTTTTAGGTCAGTGTACTTATTCTTTATTCAGGATAAATAAATAATGGGTAACACTGCCCCAGCCTTTGAATATAGAGACTCGACAAAGAACTTCAAGAGTAGGGGAATGTTAAAGGGATTGGTATCTAAGTATCTCTGAAAGATGGGGGCTGTCTTAGTGGAGGGGGGGGGGGGTACAAAGGGAGATTTTGACGTCGCTATATTTTACAAAGGCTTAGCATCTGTCGTGGGGTAAAATGTTGATCATTAACACCCGTTTCTTCGTCTAAATGGCAGAAAAATGGCCTTAAAGGTTAAGCTCTGCATCTTCTTTGCAGTTATCCTAAAGTTTATAATGTAATGTAAACATAAGTATGGAAATTTGTCTCCATTATAAGTGTTCATTACGTGTAATTAGTTTATAAGATTAATTAAGATAGGGATCTGTCCAATCAATGTTTAATTTATCATATGTCAGGTAGACAATGTGCTTAATCAATCTGCATTTAGCTATTTCATTGCGATAATTAAACGTTGTGTTTAATTTAAATTAATTATTAATTGATTGCATTTAAATTTATGGATTTGTGGAGCGAAATTAATGAGTAAAATGCAAATCTAAATACTTTTATACGTTTATCTACATATCTTTTTCTTGATCCATGCAATCAACGTAACTTCTAAAAAATCTAACAGAAAAAGTCATTTATCTGCAAAAGAAGTTTTACATAATTTACCACGAGAACGGTGACGAACAATTTTATTGTTTGTCAAGAACAAAACTTAAAACGAAACATGAAAGAGAACTTCGTGTTTGAGTCGGTGGAGTCATTAATTCTACCTCTCCCCCAAAACTAGTACCAGCAGACTTTGTTAATTTACATCATTTATACCTTACGCTTTTAAGGTTACAAAATTCTGAAAGCAAAGTATAATTGTTTGTAAAATTGAATGCTTTGTTTGTACATGAATAGTTTTACAAGAGAGGGTAAAAGTGTTACCGTCTTAGAAATATTTTTAAATTTAATTGTATTGTGCCTCAATATATATGATACTGAAATATTAGGTTAATGAGGTAAGTACTAAAGTTTTTTTTTATACTTAAAACCTAAGCATTGCACGATATTTATCATTTAAGGAATGTAAAACTCTACATTTAATTACGTTTAATGTATATTTGAAAATTAATAAATTTTACTGTAAATAAACTCAATATGCGTGCAATTTGCCATCTTGTATCATCATTATATTAAAGCCGCAAGGCCTTTACTCAGCTACCAAACCAATAACACATAAGGCTGGATTGCTTAGTAAAGTAAACTTAAACAGACTATAATGCCAACTGATCACAGACACAACAGTAGAGACCAAGTTTGAGGACGAATCTCCTAGTGACGGTGGCAGTTCTCCTAACCAGTTTGTCGAGTCCAACTACAAGGGGATCCATCTAGGAAACCCTCTAAGCCGACAGGACCTTGACAACCTTATAGAGTCCTTCCGCAAGAAAAAGGTAATTTTATTTATTTTGAGTAAATTACACTATCAGGTTTTGTTTTTGTAAATGTACTTAGTCAGCTCTTTAGTACTGTTATAACAATTCAGTGTATTTACAGAGTGCTGAGTACACCGTTTCATATAAGTAAATTTCTCTGATTTGTACACTTTTAACTATGTGACCTATTTAGCAGAGATAACTCATATTATATTTGATCTAATCATGTTAAAATAGTAACAATGAATAGGCAACCCCAAAAATAAACACCCATATATATACTACACTTCTATACTTCAGTAGTAACAACGTTTGATTGAAGTGTGGTATCACAAAACAGCGGATTTTATCTAAATTTTAAATCCATATCTCCTAACGTCAATGAAACGTTTACGTCCAGGTTTATTACATTGTAAAACATCAGATTTGCTAACCCTTGTCAATTCTATCAGTGAAGCTTCAGTGAAGCGGAAAACAGTTTGTATGTGAAACAAATTATTTTCACTATAATACTTTTTGATAGGTGATTTTCTAGGTCCAGCTTGGTTAAATTATTGGTAATCAATCCACATACTTTATTACAAATTACAATCAGTCAAGCTTGGCGCATTAATTTAATTCAAATAATACTAGATTATTTATCTGGTTGTTTATAAATGTTGGTGGTGTGCGACAACGAAATAGATTTTTTCCTCTGATGTGTAAGATAAAATATCCTTTTGTTTACTTCTTTGGCAGTACAGTTTCATCTACTATAATGCTTATAAAAATATTGGATTTTCGTTTACAAAAGTCCCACACACACATTGTATCCACAACTTACCTAATCCATTCCTCACTCATAATCAATTCAGATATTATAGATGCCAAGCTGAACCCCTTGTTCCTTACCTGTTACAACATAACCTGTAATTTTTAACTTGCTCAAAATCATTCATAACCCCTAGGACCCCCTGTGGAAACGGTGCTGCTGTGTGTGTTCTCCTCAAATACATCCAGAGTTTGTAAGTTAGATATTTTCCAAACGAGTGACTTGTTCCCCACGTTATGTCATGTTGTGTCATATTGCTGCTTGGGTGAGAAAGAATCTTTCCAGCTGCGTTCATAAGATTTCATACTTCTTCATACCTTGCACTTTCATATTATATTACACTTTTATTACATAACAATATTCACTTTAAACATTTTTTTCACGACAACCTCAATTATTTGTTTGTAATCATTTCAGTCTCTCTATAATTCACGTTACTTGACTTTTCCTCATTATTATTGTACTTTTTCATGTTAGAGTTACCATTCTTAACATATCTGGATGAGTTTTTATATTTAATTAAATTTGTTCTTAGTACGTAACAAAGGTAAGTAAGGTTCTTGAAGCGTACAACAGTATAAGGAAACAAAATATTAGTTAAGTCTTGTTTTGCTGCCTGTTATTGCAGTATACAATTTAAAAAAAGTGTCCTGCTAGGTGTGAGGCACTAGCTGTAATGCACATTTTGATGGCCATAAACTTTAAACCTAAAGACATTTCTCATTAAGTTTATGGAAACAATACAACAAACATAACATCTGTCCTGGAATGGAGCATTCAGTTTCAAAATGGCCAAATCAAAGTTGACGCCAAAGTTCATATGACCCCCAAAGCACAGTGCACAGTGGCTACGGGCGACAGTGCGACATTGTAGCAGAAAGACGGCAAAAGCTGCAGAAAGCCTAGCCTGGCAAACGAAAACTTTTTTTTATGAAAAATAACTTATTTTTACAGGAAACGTTAGGGTCACATGGTCCTTTCTAACACTTAACCTGTATACATTTCTGCAGAAAATGCTACATAACAAGTTTGGCTAGTATAATTGTTTTATTTTCATACGAACGGTTTTGACACGTAAAAAATTGAGAACCGTTTCGAATAATTGACATAAAAGCTAGATTTTTCATTCGTCTTTTACAAACATTCAGTATAAAAAAGTCTAAACTAATAAGGTGGGCGTTAGATCATTTTGTCATACATCCCTTGAAAAAAAAAACACAAATTACACAAATTTTACCAAATCTTAAAGGTGAATTTGTCTCAATATATTTCATGTTCCTTTATAAAAAAATGTACGTTTTGTCAAAATTGAACACAATTAAGTCTCAGCCTTGACGTAGCTCAAATGACCTCACACAAAATAATTTTGGCATGTATGCCTTAAGGGCAATTTATGAAATAATGAATAGTTTGTCTCGTCGTGACGAACATTTTAAGTATGTGGTTTATGGGGGTGTGACTTGTAGTTTTTAAACGTTCATGGGTACTTTGGGATTTGGATTGTATGTCAACCAACAGACGGCCTAAAAAGACCATTGTTGTAAATGCTAGGCCAACTTGAAATTTCGTAACTGTATAGTTAGGTTCTTTATTTGATATAGTATGCTGGAAATCGTTTATTTTGTTAAACAAAGCACAATTCATTAATTTAATTTCAAATAATAGCATTTGTACAAAATAAGAAAGTGTGGCCACCAACGTCATATTCTTCGCTAATATTATTTACGATTCTTATAACTTACAACTGCTGAATGTTATTCCACTACAGTTAAAGTGTATTGTTTCAGACTCATAGACTACACGCCAAATACGTAGCGACAATACTGAAACAAGCAACAGCAGCTCTCAAGAAACTGCCCAACCTAAATGTAGCCTCTACCGCCATCTCCAAACAAATAACTGTGTGTGGAGACCTGCACGGCAAGTTGGAGGACCTGCTTATAATCTTCCATAAGGTAAATTATGAAGATTTTTTCCAAGTGATTATCAACTAACAAATACACTCATAATAATATCTTAAGCGGAAATAACAAAACTGTACAAAAATAAATAGGCCTAACAAAAGCAATTATTTTCTATAATTATTTGAACAGATAATGAAGAAAACAAATCAATCACTGGAAAATGTTGGTATTTGCTAATAAAAAAGGTTTATAGTTGAGATATAAATTTAATATCATTAAAGGATGTGAAAAGTTGTGTAAGTTAGGAAACACGTATACTTGCTATTTGGCAAGGGTGGATACATTTTAATATCTTAACCATTGCGATAAGTGTGATAAGAAGTGAGCACTGAGGATTTTTTTCTGTAAAGGGTGTACTGCCCTTTGTAAAACATGAATCCTTTCATGTAATGTGATAAAGATCCGGCTTCGCTCCAAAGCTTCGATCTCTTGACTATTTAGTGTTAAAGCAAGATGATTTTAGCCGATGTCTTGTGAACCTTATTTGCAGAACCATAAAGTTGGATTAAAACTTGACTGATAAATGAAAATTCTCTTTATTTTTTTTTCATAATAAATTAAGATGTTTCATAAAACTGGTCATGATTTGTCATTTGTTAATTATGTTGCTTTACATTCTTTGACCTATGAGCTTGGGTCGCTACTCAAATCTTTGGCCAAACAATTGTATGTAACATATTTTCTGGTTTGTTTACATCACTCCATCATAAATTTCCATGGCATGCAAAATGTCATGGAATTTTTTTCAGATCCCTATTTCACTTTAATATTAGTAAATACTCAAACCTGAGTACTGTAAGAAAAGAAATTCCTTTACAACAAAAACACTCTTACGTCTCTCACTTAAGAATGATTGAACGCCAAGATTCAAAGCGAGGTCGAGTATGAAGATGAAGTATCAGTTTTTGTATGCTTCACTTGATGATCAATCTTCTTTGAACAATCATTTATTTGGAATGTCAGTCTTGCGTTACAGTAAATGTACATTATGAGTAGGCTTACATTTCAATATGCCTCACTGGCTTGTCTTAATGTTACATATGCAATACTTAAAATAATACACGCAAAAATATTAAAAGAGTTCCCAACTAATTGGCAACTAATTTATTAGGTACCAAATTTATTATTGAAAGTATCCACAGTAGATTGGTTTTCATTTTACTTTATCAACAATCAGGTTTTTGTGACCATCAGTCTTAACTCCAAGAGTGTGTAGAAAGAAATTGTGATGAACACGATCCTTTTGTTGCCAGCTAATGCTGCCAATTACTTTCTGTTACTGTCTTGCAAAAATCCCTTTTCAACATTACTGCACCTTGTTCGCAAATATTAAAGAAACCTTTCTTTAAATTATGTGTGGGAATTAATACAGTATACCAAATGGCTAGTCGTAACGTGTAACCTTTTTTTAGTCTGTTTAATATTCTACAAAAAGTTGCTATATTACAAATGAAAAGGTCAAATTGCCTTGAACTTTTCTCATCATGAACTTGTAATACACCTATTAAGGCAAAATAAGCTTTATGTGACGATCTGATGATGGTCAAATATACGTAATGCACATTATCAGTTCAGGACGAAACTTGGGTCATAAGGCAACAACAAGTAGTTTAACCTTTTTATTTGTCAAATAATTGGTCACGACGAGAAATTAAGTTGCTACATTAATTATATTTTACAAAAATTTAATCACATATTCAATTCCACCCAATTTTGGACAAAAGGCTAAGAAAAATTCTAAGCCACTACATTTGAACCTACATTGTATTAATACTATTGTGTATCATAGCCAAGAACACAAACTTCGAAGAACTTAGAACCCAGTAAAACATTTGACCTGTGAAAGTGCTGTAAATAATATAAAGTAACTTAAAGTAGCTGAGGGATTTAGAGACCAAATTGGAGGCAAATCCTCGTAATGCAATGGAGAGCTGCAACGATATTCATCTAGAATACACCCCAGGGCACCCCTGAATATGGTTCAATCCTCTGGGGAAAATAGCAAATAAAACCGACCCTGTATGAACATTTAGTGTCAGTGCACTTTTCTAATTGCTAACCATCATTTAACCTTTAACTCAGAGTAATCGATTTGTTGATATTTTTATGGCATATTTTATTACAGATTGTTATAATACCTAATTAAGTCTAAATTATAATTAATTCTTAAACTATAATTTAAACCATAATTTTACAAAGCTCTTCCTGTTATGAACTTTTAATCATTTTATCAATACAGATCCTCTAAGATGTTTGAGATAACAAACGGAAAAAAATTCAATTGCTCAAAAATAAGCTGAACTACATTTCCAATCGTTTTTCAACTAAAAAGTTTACACAAAAGAAAAATTTACCCCATCACTACAACCTACGTAAATTTAACCTATTACTTCCTATAGGGTACCTGGAATTCTTGATTATGTACAACCAGATTGGGTGCAGCTGGCCTTGATAATTATGTTATTGATAAAATGACCCTGGCTCATTCATTCAATGCCCATTCTTCTCCCGATTGCCCTTTTTATACACTCCTGAGTGTGTCGGCGTTGGATGAAACTGGTCTAGTTTAGACAAATACTGAAACCCTATGTCAAAAGGCAAGGGCTATCCCTGCTCGTTTCACATACACCCGGCATACCATTAACCCGATTTCTAGCCGGCACCTGCACGGGTCTATTTCTAACTCCCCTTATAGCCAGGTGAGGTGTTATTGAAATAAGGAATATGGTGATGGTATCATATTTGACCTAACCTGCAATGGGAGTTCAAAGAAACCTTGATTTAAGGACAATCCTCTTTTAATATGTTCATCCGGGTTATTTTTACTTTCTCCACCTATAACGTATTGTATGGATAAAATATTGTTTTCGTCAAATTTTTCGATGTTTTGAATGGATATATTCGTTTTGGGCCCCCTGAACCCAAAAAAATGGTTTGCAAAATGTTATGTCTGTGTGTGTGTCTGTATATGTGGATGTGTTCAGAGTTACGCCTGTAGTCCGATTTTGATTAAATTTAGTATTTGCACACTCAATAAAGGGGTTGTAGAGGACATGGAGATACAATTCTAGGACAGTGCAAGATTTGAATGCAAGAAAATGTTCATTAATTGTTCCCCGTTATGCCAGAACTGCAAAGGGAACTGTTTAAACGGAATGTCCATTCTGATGAATGGGCATGATGAAGAATATATGAGCCACACTCTCGCATCAATAGCCGATACTGAATCTAAAACAAGAATTGGATTATGGAGATGCGCTCGAGGGTGATTCTCAGTTCCAGACTTGTTCAAATTTACATAAACAATTTTAATTTTCAACACAATATATACAATTGAGATGTTAGTGCTCTAAAACTTGTGTTCTTTTTTATCAATGTAAAACAACATTAATCTAATGGACTATATTAACTTATTTGATGAAAAACTCAGGGAAAATATATTTGTAAAAGAATTTCCATATTCATTTGAGAATAGCTTGGAAACTTAGGCATATTCAGAAGAAATAAATAAAAGTGTTTTTCTATTTTATCATCTTTATTTTTATACTTAAATTTCTTTCTGTACGGATTTAACTTTAATGGAAGATTTAAAGAACTAAACTAAACTAAATTTCCCCCTCCTCCCGCTGAAGTAGCAGGCCAAGGGGTGGAGACTTTTGTAGTTTTATCTTCTAACTACCATAAACACATTCCAGCAAAAAAATCCCCCCCTCCATGACCTTCAACCCCCTCTTTTGAGCATTCATTGACCGGACTGTATGTAGGGTACCTCCAGGTGTTTTTTAAAACTATTTTGAATTTTAATGGAAATTTTTGATTGACACTCATAAAATAACGAAAAACTCGAATTTTCCAAAAATGGTCCGAAGGATTTTATTAAAAATATAGAATGTAATAGTCCTTCTACAAAAAAATCTTACAACTCTCGTTGATGTAAAATGTACGGTTAAAAAGTTATTGCAAACTGTATTATTTCCCTATATTAACCCATATATAACGGGGAATCGGATAAAAATCTGTTTTGATTAAAATAAGTATGTTATTGTCATTATAATTAAACAAAATATTACAACCCACCATTGCTGACAAAAATACGGTTCAAAAGTTATTGCAACTTTTGTGATTTCCCCTATAAAATAGCAAAGCTACTCCCACCGCATAACCAAAACAAAAATTGTTGAACAGCTTATTGGAGAAAGTACTGCTAGTACCGTTTATTCCACTCTAAAATCTTTTAACTAACAAAATAAATCTATGCCACAGAACGGACTGCCATCAGCGGAGAACCCGTATGTGTTCAACGGTGACTTCGTCGACCGTGGCAAGAAGGGGCTGGAGGTTCTTCTGCTGTTGTTGGCTGTCCTGCTGGTGTTTCCTGATGGAGTGTTTCTCAACAGAGGAAACCACGAGGATCACGTCATGAACACCAGGTGTGAAAACATGTTAAGAACCACAATAGGCTAGCAAATACCAAATTCCTTGTGCGCTTTACTATGGCTTTTAAAATTAAATGAGCTTAGAATCCATAGTTGTCTGTGTTATCGTCTTCATTTGGAGATTGTTCCCAGACGCTTCGCTCTTACCTTTAACTGGTATCTTCAAAGGTTAGACTGCAACTGAGCGTATATTGATCTTTTCAATATGTTCTTGGGGGTTCTTAAATGAATCTTGGTTAGGTGTATTTTTAATTTTAACTTTCCAACTTTATAACTAAATCAATACTTGACACATCGAAGATACTATTATTTTCGACGCTTTAGATTACTTAGACCTATGTTTTTCACCAAAATTTTAAACGATTAGACATCAAATTTTTGTTTCCAAATGAAATAACACCAATCGTAATTGTATTAAGATTTGAGACCATAAAGTCTTCACCTGGATCAAGCTGGCCTTGAATATTACAGTTTAAATTTATGTATACTAGAGGTCGTCCAGTGGTCGAAAATTCGACCAAAAATATGTAATGTACGTACACGCATTGACTATTGGATACTGAAGTAGACAGTCCATCTATGTTGACCAGCTCTTGCCATTTTTTTAAAAAAGAACATGTAGTTGTGTGAGTCAGTCACAGAATGTGTGTCTAAAATCATATTTTCTACCTTATTTTAACATAATAATAAGTCATTCCATAAGTTTGATTTAGTATAAAACATCGTGTATTCGATAGAAATTAGTCATTTAGATCAATCTGTTGGTGACTCACATCAACGACGAAAAATTTAATTTAAAAACTGGCTACAACTTTAACATGGGGATGTAAGTCAAAGGAGTATGTTTTATCCATGGTCAAAGGTCCAGACTTCTCTATTTTCAACCCACACTGTAAATAAAACATGTGATTGTAATTTGTTCCATTTGTTTTGATTTTCTGTTTATATTTCGTTGTTATTTCGTCACCAGCATGGCAACTCATAAAGCCTATGTTAATTAGTTTGTAATTTCAAATTCATTTGTTGTGCTTATATTTGAGCCTATTTTAATTTTTAAAGGGATTCTGCACATCTACATGAAAATATCTTTCTAACAGTATGCGTAGATTTTCCCTGCGATGTGCGCGAGCTGAGAAAAAAGGTTTTAAAGAAACATGCTTGCCTATTAATATATAGAATCAAAATCTAAAACGGAAATATTTTATTTGCAATAAATAAATCCTTTATTCCTCCCCCTTTGAGTATTTGCATTAAATAATACTAAAAGCATGCATTACAAACAAATTGTATTGTTGTTGTGATGTAAACACATTTTACTCATTTTCTCTCACAAATGATACCAAACATATTTCGCATGTGAAATAACATCGATGATTAATATTATTACATCAGCAGAATTTTAAAATAAACAGTTTTATTTTCAAAATCTTAAAAGTAGTATGTTACAATACATCCTCAAGCAGGACAGTAATGTTTAACTTTCTTTGGAAATTGCAATAAAATACATAACAAAAAAGTGTTTTTCAAAATAAATATGTTAGATAATTTTGTAAATAAATAATAAACCCTCGAGATATACATTAAATTATAAATGAACAATATGCTGATCATGGATTACATCGTTCTTTTCCTATTGTAAAAAGTGTGCCCTGGAAAGCTTCCCTTGTGATTCGAATTTATTATTGCTTTTAGCGACACTAAGGGTTCTTGGTTTCTTGAAACGTTAACTTTAGACTCAAACTTTTGTCTTTATTTCAGATACGGATTTATCAGGGAAGTTAAGCTGAAGTACAAGGTAAGTTAGTTGTTCGGTATATATCAAGTGTAAGTATAAAAGTATTTGAGAAAAAAGTAAATTGGGTTTGTGATTATCATTTCAGTTGATAACTGGATTACGTTAAGCCTAGTGATAGCGATAATTAGTGTAATTATATCATAGTGTGTAATATGTAATATTATCATATTATCATTTATAATATTATCACTATGAAATATTATCATAGTGTGATAGCTCAATATATTTTTCACTCTTTATTTTTAGATTCAAAATATAAAAAAAACTGTACATAAAAAATGTTTATGTGAATTTACAAACTACTATTTAAATGACAACTAAGTATTCAGTGGAGTTAAAATGCTAATAATACCATTTTGATGATAGATTTTGATCTAAACTCTGTTCATCATGGTGAAATGTTGGTTGTTTTCAGCACAACGCTGAGCGGCTGCTTAAGCTGATCGAAGGGGTGTACAGGTGGCTCCCCCTAGGCACAGTGGTCAACAACAAGGTACTCATTGTTCACGGAGGCATCTCCGATATCACGGACTTGGACTGGGTTAGGAGTCTAGACAGACAGAAGGTATGATCTCTCTCTAAAGCAAGTGTAAATCTCTGGTCTCCAGAAATAATATCCCTAATTTTCTCTCTATCGTTCACCCTAAAAGTTAATCTTTCACTCCCATCTCTTGAAGCCTATAAAAGTCATCCTCTGGGGTATTAAAGTCATGGATAACATGGGGTTTTGGGGGTCATAGAGGTAATTCATAGCTTTATAGAGCTTTTTTCCTTCTTAATTGCCTTATGACCCGCAGTGAATATATTCTTTTCGGTAGTTGAACTTGTAATATTTTAACATGTTCTATCACCCTTAAACGCCCAAACTTATTTTAATTATGATAACAGACATCCATTTGTACAACATTGATCGTACACAAGGTTACAAAACGGGCTTAAATGTGTAAGAGAATGGGGAAAAAGAGCATCCCAATGCTTCAGTGTCTTGGCGGTGAAGTGTTAAGTAAGGATGAAGGAGAGATCCATGAATATTAACCAAGAATATTGTTCAAGAAAACGGCTTGGTAAATAATTTCCAACTTAAACCAGGGGTGGAGAGGGGCCACAAGATTCGTTGTCACTTCTTCTCTATATACAACTCAACTCTTTCTTTGCGTGCGTTCTCCAAATCTCAAGCTGAACCATCCCACGATAAATTTGTTTGTGTATTTTTTAAGATCTACTTGCCTTACACTTTGGTATTTACTTATCTTTCACATTGATCAGTGCCAAATGCATGACTTATAATATGTTTGTGATTATTAAGTCGTTTTTTCTCCAGTATGTATCTCTGCTGAGGCCACCAGTTGTCCCAGAGACCAACAACGCCGTCGCCACAGAGGCCATTGATAAGATGGAGTGGAAACAGGTGCGTTAGTAAAAATTGAAATAATAAATTTATTTGAGAATCCTTTCTATTACCAATTCAATGAAGACCAATTTGAAGTTAGTAAAGCTGCTTGGGTCAACGACTTAAATTATAATATGAAATTGTACTTCACCATTTGAAATGTCTGTTGTGAGTTAAGTTTAAGAGTTGGTGTCTATCTTGCGTTGGATGTAAAAGTTTAGTTTATCTTAAATTATGATAATTACTTCTAATGGAATTTGTATTAAAAACAACCGAACCGATAAAAAACTAGATACCTATCCACGTAAGGCTTTGTTTTGGTTATTTTGACTGCCCATTCAGGAAGTATTATCTTTAAATCATATATTTGTACGCCATGTACAGATACAAAGCTTTGATTTAATTTTTGTACCACTGACCACAGGTGTTCGACATCCTCTGGAGTGACCCGCAAGGCACGGAAGGCTGCATACCTAACTCCTTACGAGGGGCAGGCACCTACTTCGGCCCTGACGTCACTGAGCAGTTCCTAGCCAAACACAACCTTATGTTCATCATCAGATCGCACGAGTGTAAGATTGATGGATACGAACTCACTCATAACGATAAGGTGGGTCTGAGAACTCATGTAAAGTGCAGTACAAAGTTTAAAATGCGTATATTAAATGAAATGTTTTACGACAATAAATGATTAAAAGCTTTCTATAAATTCGAAAAATTTGTAAAAATAAATTTGGTAAGGTCTGGTTAAATTTACAATATAAACTAATACAAAAACTATTAAAATCTGACTCACACTAATAAAAACAAATATATTAAATTTGTTTTTATTAATGTGAGGCAGTTTTTAAAGAATATAACACAATTCAGAATATCGTTCTTTATGTCCCTCCTTCATATCCAAGGACGTTGGTTCTAGCTCGGGACCCTTTAACACACTATTTCAGGTTAGATCCAGAGGGTTGTGGAATTATCTTTTCAATCAAATCTATTGCTGATTGACGGGAACCAGGATTTAAAAGACATACTGTTACCAATATACCAGCTCGCTCCCCAACTAGATGTACTGCACTGGCTTATACAGTTAGCCATACAACAATCCAACATTTTGGGCTGACTTTATACTCGTATTAAGAGAGTAGCGTGTGAGGGTCATCAAAATAAGATAGAAAACAAATGCTATGATTAAATTTCACATCATGTTTACTAACGTAGGTGCTCAGCTACCGATTCAGACTTACTTGAAAACAAATGTTTTTTGCGTCCAAATCTTACTAAACCTGGTTAACACTAACGATTCATTAGGTGTGAAAAAATCTACTTAGACAACTTTCATAACCAAGTATGCCGGGTAAGCGAATAAACTCTTGTTTAGGACATTTCATCTAAAGATTTGCTGCTCACAATATCACTGTCATTTCACTTAACGATTCTTGTAATAGAATGTTTAAACTAAGATAATGAAACTCAAATTCAACACTTTTTACATAGGTGGTGACGATATTCTCCGCGTCCAACTACTACGAGACGGGATCCAACAAAGGTGCCTACATGAAGCTGGTAGGCCCTCAGCTGGTACCGCACTTTGTACAGTTCAACACAGCCAGGTCTGTGGCCAAGGCACTCACCTTCAGACAGAAGGTGGGGCTGGTGGAGTCGTCTGCCATCAGAGAGCTGAGTACCAAGGTCCAAGCTCACCGGGAGAAACTTATAGTAGCCTTCAGGAGATCAGACAACCACGACACCGGTAGGTCCAGAGTAGATGTATGAATATATAGTAGAGGGATGATCGTGTCAGAAATGCAAATTTTCAATACGCTAGTAAACGATACTGGTTAAAACAAGTATTAAAAGGTTGGTGGCCTCTTTTAACTTGCATTTGCCCATCCACATAGGCTATGGGCCTGATGGAACGTATGCGGCAAAGCAAGCGGTGAGCCGGTACAGTAAAATGGTAAACTGTACTGATTAAAAGTAGCGGCAGTGAACAGGGTCCGAACCCACGACATCCGATTCTATTCTATTCTATCCCTGAAGTCCGTGACGCTACCTACTGAGCCAACGACTCAGCCAAATCTAGTCTGTAGATTACTCTACCGGGCGACTCTAATATAATTTCCTTGTATTCGCATTTATATCAGAATACTTATTTTCAATGTCAGGATACTTTCATCAGAGTACTTTAACTAGTTGTCAATCATCAGAGATTTGCACACATTAACAATAATAGTATCAACAAATTTGACTAGATCAAGTAAGTGTAAGTGATTAACGTTACAAACATGGATTATATTGACAAACAAAACAATGAAGAGATGAAAAGATTAAATTGTAGGACACTTGATTATGTATGAAGCCTGACTACATTGAGAAACAAGAAACAGTTGACACAGAGATACAAAATAACAGCAAAACAACAGCAACAAAAGGGAGATAAATAAAATTTAAAGTTTAAAATGTTGGTCCCTAGGATAACAAATATAAATGACTCAAACTTCTCAGCTGGTTTAGAAATAGTAAAGTGGTAATGAAAACAAACATACAAGCAGCTTGCTCCAATTTGATATTCTACTTGCTTGCCTTCTATCCAGGACTGGTGACGGTGTCGGAGTGGTGCTCCGCCATGGAGGAGACCACTGGTCTCAGCCTTCCCTGGAGGATGCTCAAGGAGAAGCTGGTCTTGATGGACCCCGCTGGCTCGGGAAAAGTCCGCTACATGACCACCTTCCAGGACATCGAGCCTGCCAGGCGAGGGGTGAGTCAGGGGGTGGCAGAAGGGAGTTTCATGGTGATACATAGTAGAAAGATTTGACGATTGAACTAATCGTTTCCAATCCCTTTAAGAATTTTTATATATGATGTTGGAAATAAAGTAGAAAACTAAATTCAAGAACAACCTTTCTTAAATTTCTTTCTAAACCTTAAGTCAAAACTATTTTAATACAAATTTGTACAACCATATTTTCGTTCTTGGTTTTTTTAGTAGTTGGAAAGGGTTTCTTTCACCCTTGTAAACCATTGTTAATGTAAATTTTTCTTTGTTCGAACCGTTTTAAAAATAACTTAAAGTTTCAATATTTAACGTTTTAAAATAATCTAAATGTTTCAGCACGGGGCCACCGTAGTTGAGACGCTCTACAGGAATAAGTCGAGTTTGGAAGCCATATTTAGGATAATAGACAAGGATAATTCAGGTAAACCATACAGAGAAGATTGGTCCTTTTTACATTCCTAAAACAAATTTTTCTCCGTACACACAATTACATATTTATATTTAAAGCACTGAGAATTACCGTGGCACTTTATATAAAGTTTATACTTATATAAAATGGTTATAAAATTTATGAACTACGATAGCAAAGTAACAATCTTGTAAATGAACGCGAATCTATTGCAATATCCAATTTAAGCATGAATTGTAATATTACCACGCCTTTGAGGGATTTCCTTTGAAGGCAAGAGTCTTAATTCAATGTCCTGATTGCTCAAGTATATTGAAGTTATACGTTGATTTTCTTTAATAAAAAGTTTTTCATCGATTGAACGAGTAATGTTATTGATAATTACGAGTATAGTGCTTTATTCATCTGGTTTTCTACAATAAAATGTAATGTAATGTACGTATATTTTTACTTCAAATTAACATTTATTTTTTTCACAAATACACATTGGTTACACAGGAGGCAGTTTTTCGTAGGGAATAAAAGCACATTGGTGTAATCCTGGTGTAACCTACTGTGTATCCATGTATTTGCGTAGGGTCTTAGGGGGAAAAAAATGTGGGACGGTTAAAAATTGTTACTTAACAAATTAACAGTACATAATTCAGGAGTTACTACATTCTAAATGCAAATAAACTTAGAATTTCCCCACCATAATTTTGGAATGCATTTTACGAGGTTCAGTGGTGCAAGACATTTTTACTTCTTCAAAAAATTCAGATCGAATTTATTGGAAAAGACCAAGAATAACCTACAACTCTACTCCACTGACCACTTGAGCATCGCAATACGCCACCAATCTTCTAAAACATCCTAACATATAGCCACCACAACGAACACTGACCAAACTATTAACCCATAACCACATCTGCAACAAGCCGCTAAATGACAATCCCACACCTCAACAACAACTCACAACCACAACCAACAATAACAACAACACACAAGAACACGACCTCGAAGAGGTTACCAGTCTTCGCTGGTAAGAGGTTACCTACCTGGTTCGTAACGCTCACAACTCCTATTAAATATCCTATAATACTAAAGGAGAGTCTTAGTACAGCCCCAGCGAACTAATTATCTCCTGGATCATCATGACCACGTCACTTTAAGAGGTAAAGAACGGTTAAAATATATATTAATTATTACAAAAAAATTATCACTGGACGAAAGTAAAGAAAAAATGAATTGATAACGTGTTCTTTTATGAAATTAACATTGTATGCTTGAACTAAAATTCAAGTTCAAATGCAAATATAGATCAACTACTCACCAAAATTAATTTAGTATTTTTTTAGAAAAAAAAGTTAAACCCACTTTTCTGCACTTTTTCACCTCCACTGTTTTCTCTTTCAGGTTACATATCCTTGGAGGAATTCAAGGACGCGTGTGAGTTGCTGGGAGAGCATCTTCAGCATCCCCAGGACGAGGCCCTGGACATCTGCAAGAGTATGGACATCAACAAGGATGGCCTGGTGGACCTCAACGAGTTCCTGGAGACCTTCAGGCTTGTAGACATGGAGGTCGGGAGAGGAGACTCCGTGGATGTTGACTCTGACGACGAAGGTGACCGGGACTGAACGGGAGAAACTGCAAATGGGGATTGATAATAACGTCATGTCATAGAGAAACATGAAAAGAATTACGGGAAGATTTACTGATCACATATTATAGTTGTTTTCATGGATCACGTTAAATGGGATAAGCAGGATTACAATACCATAATGCTATACTGCGTTGATTCAAGTTCCAAGATTTAGGATTTCATCAAGCTTTTCGGTCATTGACGATTGACCAAGTCACTAATAACATAACAGAGAATAATGCCCTGTTGACTCACAAACAATGTCGTAACCAGACCTGCAGCTTGGTTTGTACAGGTAAGGTTAATGGTTAAAAGACCATTAAACGTTGGTCTAATCCACTAAGATCAACTCAGGATCACAAAGCAAGGTAATCCAAATTGTAACATTTTATCATACATGAGTTGTTTACGTCGATTTTACGACAGCAATGCGTTTTGAACACTGGAAATGCCGGAATTGTTCATTGTGTTAACAGTCATATTAATTCAAGTGGGGCCATACGCCAAACTTGTTTTTGTCGAGCTAACATTTCGTATGTTTGCAGTCAAATGATACAACAGGACATGCCATTATTCAAAAGAGAACTAACAGGACCTTGCCATTATTCAAATAGTTATCAAATAATTCTTTAATAATCCAATGTACACGTGATAAATTTAACCACCACATATTTTGTGAAGCATCAGCCCTTCTAGCCAAGCAACGCTTTACAATTTTCTTCCTACGAATTTCTTCAACTGCCTTAATGTTTGGTCCATGTAGGCGTTGATAAAAAATAAAAAAGGTCGCGTTAGAAATGAAGATTATGTTGTTAAGGCTGCGGGTATAAAATTATGTATTGATGAACACGTCTTATTAACTTTAAAATGTTTGAGATACTCTTGATGTTGTTTCTTCATGAAAATGTCCCTTATTACATGTGCAACATTAAACTAGATTGTTAAAAAGTGGTAAATCTTATTTGAAAATGATGCTTTCAAGAATTAATTGTTTAAGACAACAAATATAATATTATCCAAAGTGAGTGAATTCAGTTCCAATTCTTGAGTTTAGATGAGTTAAACAGTTGAGAATAATTAAAATATGTTTTATAAATTTACAACGAATACTCTTTGTAAGCATCTGGTAAGCATGCTGTTTTCTTGTTACATGTAATATGGAAGCCAAATAGAAAAGACAAGTTGATATTAAAATTGCAACTTCAAAGTAAAATGTCTTGTATTTGGTGCTCAACTTCTAGTCGATATATTTTAGTGATGTGCCAAAAGACAGATAGATACCTTTATGGAAGTTGGATCTGTAAATAGTTTTGAGAAATCTAAGTTGTAAATAATATTAGTTATTATGAAGGAATTGTCCATCTGTGTAGATTGTATATTTCAACCACTGGCTGTGTTTACTGTTGAAGTGTCGTATATACTTTATATACGTTTATATACGTGTATATACGTTTATCATATACTGTATAGAGAATGAAATACTTATATGATATAAATGTAGTTTTTTCTTAACAATATAGTTAAATGTTCGATGTTCTTCAATTATTCTCATGTAAACACCAACTCTATTGTAACCATTAGCTCTGTGTATTCCAGTTATTAGGTACTCTAGTATCTTCTTACAAACACAAGATAAACGTTCTACGTTTTGTCGTCTGCTCTTGGGTATTAAGATAATGATAACTGTAAGTAATATCACTAGATCTATTCAAATTTGGTAAATTGCGTTAAAAGTGAAACTTCAATCTCGTAAAATCTATGATTTAATAAGTTTTTAAATGACTCTTTTAGTAATAAACAACCTCAATTATGACGTAACAAAGTGCTAATTTAATATGTCCTAATATGTAAAATATAATGAACACCACAATAATAATAAACTTTTTTAGTATCGTGCGAAATCAATAGTTAAATGTAAAACCTCTTCAATTTTGTTCACTGTATATTCTGGTTAGTGTGTCTTATTTTAGAGATATTTAAAAACAAACTTACTTCTTAGTTGTTCCTACTCAGTTCAAAGGTCAGCTGATTATTACGTTTTGTGAACCCTGTGTGTATTTACTGAACAGTTTCCATTTTTTATGCAATCGTATTTATAATCAAGCCCTTCTATCTATGTCATTCTAGCAGAATGAATTCAATTTTATGAAATTTTTCCCAAGTCACCTATTCCCATTTTTTACTGATAATAAGTGAATGGCTGGATAATTATATGTAAGAAATAATCGTATAAATTGGTTGTGGGCCGTACTCAGTTAATATGTTTTATTGTCAGTGTTATCAAGGGAAACTCAAGCCAAATTAAACTGTTTTCTCAAAATAACGAGCTATTGATTGGAATTAAATACAAAGGAGCTTACTACTACTGGTCCGTCCACATATAATGATCAAAAACCTAATATAATTTATTGAAATAAATTATATTTTTTGTAAATACATTTATTTCATTTATTCGTGATTCCCCTACGTTTTCGAACCGGGATTGATCTAAATGGTTTTTCTTATCAAATGTGTAACTGTATTAATGTAGAGAAATAAATATTAATGTTTGATTAAAATCGTGATATTTTAAAATTAAAAAAAAAACTATTGAAAATGTAATCTGTTGTATTACCTTTAATTAGGGTAATAATTGACACGGCTAGCTGGGTGGATAGTTACCATTGATAGGGACCATAACAATATTAACTATTATTTAGATTATAGTGTAAATATTTGATGTAAATTATTTTTATGTAAAATTTATTAGGAGGTTACTATACGTATTGGTGGGAATATTAATAAGTTTATAAACTTAATAAAAGAATAGCATGTCAATGTTTTGTTTTAGTTAAAAACGTTTGTATTTTTTATTTTACGTTAAAATAAAGCTTTGTTCTCTGTAATGTCAATTGTAATTTAAAACAGTATTTTAGTTGTGTTTATAACGTTCATTGTCCAGAGTTTGTGAGTGTTTAGATTTTAGATTGGAATGTTAACTCGTTTTATAGTTCCACATTTAGTTCTGAATCTTGGTAGGAACTTTAAGGACAAAACGGGTGCTTCATGTGGTTTTTGTATAATAGTTGTATTGATGTTTGTTTCGTCATTGACGTAATTTTATTTATTCAATTTAAACAAGATATAAACAACAGATGGCTCCAAAATATGTTTTACTTTTCAAATGATGCATGATGGTTAACCTATAAAAGCACCTAAATATGATTAATATGAAAAAGTTTGACGACTATTAAAAAATATCACACACACACTTTGTAATAGTATGCATATAAGTAAACATATTCCAAATAATTTAGGAGTTGATTAAAATATATGAAAATATATTTTAACAAATCAATGAATATCTTAAAGTCACCCTATTAAGTCGAAGACTTTCGTGATACAATTTTGGTCAAAGTGTATTTTGTTTTTAAATACGTAAGTTAATTTGATGTAAGAAAAAAGTTTATTTTTTAACTCGTCTAAATAAAAAATCTGTTTAATTGTATCTTTCAAAATATATCATTAAATACATACAGTATAAAACATGCCTATGATATATTTACCCTTTTTTCATGAGCAATGTGTATTTTTATTAATCATGTGTTATGAACGGCAATTGCTTCGAAGAAAAGTGGACTGACCATTAAGACCAAACTAATGTAAAAGTCAATAAAAGGCTACAGATAAAAGTAATTGTCGTCCTAAAAGGATTGGAAGTACTAATTCCTTTTTTTATTATCAAACAATTATAAAATATTTCGCAATGCAATTTGGACGTTTAAGAAAATAGAAATAGAAGATTAATTCTCAAGAAAAAATGTATTAACAGCTTTTTTCTTACTATAAATAACATATGTGCATTCTACTTATTGCATATACTTAAACATACTTATACTACATACTTACTTAATTACGTACATACGTACTTACTTATTGCATTTTACTTCGTGCAGTTACTTATTGTTTAAATTGTAAGAATAGAAAGATTTTATTATTCCTGTAATGTTATTTTTATCTCCGTCATAACATTTGTTTGCCACTCGTTATTTTTGAAATAGCAAAAATTGGAGGTTGGAGACACAGAGAATCAAAGGAAAACTTTGGGATTGGCTTTGTGCCGCTCAACATATATCTTGGTCTAGAGACAGTTTGAAGACGTTCTTTAGGAAAGTTTGATTTTCTTTTACAACTTTTGGAAATAAACTAAAGCAGTTTCATAACGGACAAACGCTATACAACATTTCCTTAACAGTGGTCAATCTATACTTCACAAAACGTGAAACGTTCTTTCACTACCACAAAATTATATTACTTTGAAATAATTCCATAAATTACGTTTTCTTGGGGTTAATATTAGGTTTTTAACAAATTGAACAACATCTGCTAAACTTTTTAAAATTTATAATAGTACACTTACTAAGTCCAATTGTTTGTTTTGCGTTTTAGAGATTCAATATGAACTATATTGGGACTCGGGAATTAGTTATATTTGCTTAACACTCAAATATTTATAGTATGAAACATAAGTGAAAGCAACATAGTATTCCTAAGGCACTAAAGATGCATTAAGAAATTTGTAAAAACTGATAGTAAAAAAGGGAAATTTATTAATAACAAAAAATTATGATGAGGTCTTACCTTAGCAATCATAAATGTTGTCGATCCAACGAAATCGATTTCAAACCCGAAGTTCATCATCAGTTGGGATCTAGTTCGAACAAATTTCAAAAGTCCTATTCACCCGAAGGGTTTCGTAGAAGAAAAAAATAACACTGAATAATGTACAAGAAACACGAATTTGGCATATAAATTTGGGTCATAATCCATGATTTAAAATATGGTTTAACCTCATTTTTACTGGGAAACATTGTACTTAAACTGTTTTACATATTCATTATATTTTCCTATTCGATCAACTTAAGAATATATTATGTTTATTCACATCAAATAACTTACATTTTATCAACTTTATTGAAGTTCTTTATGATCACATACAACTACAGATTTCCAAACAACTGCTTGGCCCTGTTTTTCATCATCAAACACATTGTAGACATCAGCAAACTGAAGTATAAAAGTACACGCAGATATATTTTATATTTTTTAAGAATTAGACGTCTTTTATGTATCTAAAGTCGATGGTTTTTGGTATTTAATAAATTTGTATAGTCACGTAACTACAAAGGGAATAGAAAGAAAGTCATTTTGACAGTAAGCAAATGTAACATAGCAATAACAATAAGATGGCAATATTACATTCCATCGCATCGTTATGAAGATATTCTTCAAACCATTCCTCATGTATTCTGACACAAAGGTAATCATATTGTTTTGATTTTCCAGGGATCCCTGAATCAAGATATAATGAAATTGGTCTTTGACATTTCTCAGTTTTCCCCCTCGAGAAATGCGACTAATCGAAGGTGAAAACGTTTTAGGAAGATGTGTTTTCTAGGTTATGCATAGATGAAGATATACTACTGATATACATATACCTAAATAATAGTAAATTCAACGAAATATATTTCATTCAGACCGGAAACAACGAGAACACAGGTTATGGATTCCTGCAAAACTGAGTAGTTTTATCATTTTGTAGACGAAAGGTAAATATCAATGATATAAGAATACCAAAGAATAAACTTTATGACCTGAAATTTAACACTATTTTCCATCCTGCAAGACTATATACCCCCATGTTTCGTAAATGTATTAAGTTAGTTTTAAGTTAATGTTAGATACACTTATAAATAAAAATCTTAAAAACTGCTTCTTTAAATATTAGGACATTTTGCAGCTACAGTTACTAAAAGGCCGCAATTGCACAAATGTGTGTGTGTTTTTTTATGTAATAATGTTCGAACGTTCCTTTGCAAAATACAGGAGATATAAATTGAAGCGAACTGAAGGTTCTATGTAACAAATAAACATACAATGCTGACATGAAGAATGTTACTAACATTTCAAACGATAATATCCCTTCTGGGAAATGTTTCATAAACAAAAGGTTTCACATCCATTTACCATGACACATCATGCTTTACATAAGTTCTCAAACAATTTCCTATGTTGTGACAAACAACAAGAACGTTTTGAATTTAATTTATTTGGTGTGGGTTTCTCATCATTTGAAATTATATTAATCATACACATCAATTTATATATAACTAGCAGAGTACCCGTCCTTCGTACGGGATTGGCATATAAGTATAAAATGATTATTGCATTAATTTATACTCAAGCTCTGCGTTTACAATGGGGGAGGACGCAGTTTGATGAAATTTCTTTCTTTAAATTTACGGTATTGTATAGTATTACACATCTACCATAGCCATAATGTTCTACCACTTCAGTTAAACAATTAGAGAAAAATAAATTATTAAAGATTCGCAAAATATCACAAATTATTCATGAAATTAAAAACATAAACATAAGTATTAACAATCTAGCTTTGACAGTTCTCATTGCGTATCACGATTTTTTGTTGCTGCTTGATTCAAATTAGCTGTTTTCATACATACAAAAATAATAGTGCTGCACCCTGTTGATAAATCTCATAACCTTTAATACTTTTGCATATCATAGAACCAACTTTTTTAGTTGAAACAGCTGACTAAATTCTTTAATTCCCTTTAAATATGACTACTCATAAGGTTAACATGGGGAGCTACAGAGCCACTGGGGCGGAGCCCGAAAGGATTTTTGAGATAAGAATATGCCTATATGTTAATCGGGAATGTGAGCTATCATCATGCCGAATTTCAGCCGAATCCGTCCAGTAGTTAATGCGTGATTGAACTTCAAACAAACAAACAAACAAACAAACAAATAAACAAACACACAAACTTTCACATTTATAATATTAGTAAGAAGTAAGATGTTACTTAACTAGTTTATGTCAATAAAGGTACAATTACTGTGTTATTTTATCATGACACTGTTGATAAATGTATATAAATCCCCGCATGAATTTATGTATTATATTTTTTGCTTTAATTTTTAAATTAAATAGCCTACATTCTGTAAATGTTTTAAGAGAAAAGTAAACTTTAATAATATGTAGCGTAATAATACGCAAAAGACTTTACTATCCTAAGAGCCTAGCCCGATAAATCAAATAACCTTTTAATCCCGTGCGTTTTAGAACAAATCTGCATAAGGCGAATTCTATACACATTCACTTAAGAGATGTAGCCTATATGTGCCCTTAATCTACGAAAAGGTTTGTATCTAAAAAATGTAAAATTTAATTATATTAAAACTTAACTACATTAAATTACATATAATTGCTTTTAAATAATTCCTGCAACCAATTAAAATAATATAGGGCATATGTTTGTGTTAACACAAAAGCAGATAGTATTCGTTTCTTTTTCCTTAGCCCAATTCGGTTGTACACACAGATTCCTGAATAATTGTCCATACTCCCCACTGCCCACGTGTTTGCATGATAAGTTGATTTTGAAATTAATTTACCGAACCTTATAATCATTTGTTGGTGCCATTCGATGCAAACCAATGAATTTCATGTGAAAAAACTGCATTGCGGAGTGAATCCCAGTACGACAAAATCCTGCTAAAAGTCAGGCAGTATATGATGGCCCGATACTTTTTAATAAATCAGAATCGGTAGAGGCATAACAATTTTTGTTGTCTGTTAGTAGATGTAATTTGGGAGCAATCGTCAGGCTTTGGGCGTGATTAGCTGATTTTGGTTACACTCAATGAAATTTAAAATCCCTTTTTAACAAGTTAACAAAAATTTATTCGTTTTATATGACTGTATTCCGCTCAAATAGGAAAAAGCACAATTAAAAATTAATAATGGCTTGTCGATGAACAATTTCTTTTTGACCCTCTAAAATCAGCAGGATCTTTAGGCTGTTTTTAGAATACATGCGGTAATCCAGAATTTTCTATATTCCAACCTCACCAAAGTGCCGGACTAGCTTAAGGCAAACTATTTCATTTCATAAGCGTTTAGTTCATTTTCTTCTGCCAATTGATTTTAATTATCTTACATGTACTTTTACTATGGTAAATCGTGGAGCTTCGGTATTCAAGGTCCTAGGTTCGAATCCCATCAATCCAAAATTGTATTAAACAATGCTGCCCTCTAAGGCTAGCCTGAAGTAATGACTAAAATTGTTCCTGAATGGAGCCTTGAGTACTATAATTTGAAGTAGGACATAGATGAAAACCATCATTGCCCTGCAAGTAGACCTTTTATGTAGAATAAGGTTAGTAATTTCTTAAAGACGGAACTGTCAGATCAGACTCAGGATATATAGACGGACAGCGCCCCGCCCTAGTCTGGCACGCCACGTTGTGCGTGTGAAGTCTGTGTGAAGCAATAACTTAAGTCATTAATTAGTATAAACACCACTTAAAATAGAGCAGTTTTACATCACATTTTAAGCTATACTACGTGTACAATGCAGTCGTCTGCCTGCAATATTGATCGGAGCTAGCATATACATCCAATACTTTCCTGGTCAATGGTACATCTGTGTCTC